CACAAAGGTATGGCAATTCTAAATAATTGAAAAAGCTCTCAATACGTCCAATTTCGTTTACCTCAGAGCTGCAAAGGGTTTTATAAAAGTGTTTAAATTGATCATTAATACCCTGTTAATCAGTAATAATACTGCCCTCACCCTTACTAACTGCTGCTATAAAAGCAGCTGCTGAGGATTGTTTCAGTTTGTAACACAGTAACATGGCAGCTCGTTCACCATGTTCATAATGAATCTAGCGTGATCTTATGTGGACATTTTCACTTGTCAGGGAGTCATATTCCGCTTGCAGAAGGAGTCTTTTCTAATGGAGCTCTTCGGAAGGTGATGTTGAGTGTAGCTGATCAATTGTATTATTTAAATTCATAATCTGTGTAAGCCGTTTTGACATTCTTTTATTTGCGCTAGCTTGATATTAAATAATCTGTCCTTTTATAAATGCTTTCAGAGTATACCATAGGATGCTCAAACTTATCTCTGGGGATTCGTTTATCTCAAGGAAGAAATAAATTTGAGCATCAATAAATTTTACAAAATCGTCGTCTGCCTAGAGTCTTGAGTTAAACCGCCATGTATGTTGGAGGATTCCATTGCCTGAAAACATAGCTTTAGAGAGACTGGACAATGTTCCGAAATAACAATACTACCATACTCTTCTGCTGACAATAATGCCCCATTCACACGGGGCTTCAGCGTCAACGCTTGACAGAAAGCGTGTCTGAAGTTGGGGCTGACGTGATCGTCATAGCAGCGTTAGCCAATGAATTTACACAGCAATTGGCCACAGTCTGAGCTGGTGTATTTGCATACAGCGATCTGTTGGCTGATGCTTCCATCGCCGCTTGAAAAGTTTATCAAGTCCCAACTTTTGCAGCGAACAATGCTTCTGAAGCAGCGTCGACGAATCCACAATGCAGTTCGGCAACGCCTGACGTCACACATTCAAAGTGAACGGGAAGCGTTGACGCTGATGCCCCTTGTGAATGGGGTGTAAGGGACGTAACTGCTTGTCCAGGAGAAAATGGTCAATCCTGGAATAGGTTTGATGCACGGGTGAATTAAATTCAGGAGGTTCGCCTCCTAAAATTAAATTGTGTGTGTCAAGACTAGGCAAAATTGAAAATAAATCAATGAAAATGTGTACATTGTCCCAATTAGGAGCATACACATAGGCCAGGACCACAGACATGTTAAAAGTTTGGATTATTATGTTTCTGCCATTTTTATCCAGCACATTTGACTCAATGACAAACTGTACATTCTTATGTATGAGTACAGCAACGACCCTACTTTTGCTATTGAAGTTTGAATAATATATTTGTGTATAGCCTCCTCTAAGTTTAGAATAGTCATTTTTCAACAGATGTGACTCCTGTAAATATACAATATCGGATTTGAACTGTTTTTAACTGATTTTAATTGTTTCGTTTTATTGGGTGATTTAGCCTCCGCACATTCCAACTGGTAAAGTTTGTCTTTACTCCACCCATTTTATGGGCTGTTGAAAACATTTATCAGAAGCATCCGAAGCACCCGAAAGGTATCTGTGGGTTTTGTATGTAGGGGTATATATAAATGTTGCTATAATAAAGGCCAAAGAAGAAAAAATGGCCATGAATATCAAATCACTTTTATTGTTACATCATCAGCAGCACGTGTGCTATGATGAGTGAAAAGCTTAGGTGCTGGCTCTAGACAGTACAAAATACAGACAGTGCAAATATAATTTGGCAGCATTATAATTGTTGACAGCGATATGTATAATGAATATGTGTACCCATAGTTGTAGGCAGTATTGTTTTAGGTATGTATTGGTTAAAGTGCAGTGCATGCTACATATGCATGGTGTGCAGTGAGGGGTATTAAGTGTTCATCAGCCTGATAGTCTGAGGGAAGAAGCTTTCCTTTAGTCGGCTGGTGCGCGACCGGATGCTGCAGAACTATTTGCCTAAGGGTAGCAGAGAGAAAAGTCTATGGCTTGGGTGGCTAGAATCGCTTATAATTCACTTGGCTTTCCTCATGCACCGCCTGGTGTAGATGTCGTGGTGGGAGGGAAGCTCACCTCCTACTACGCGACCAGCAGTTCACACAATCCTATGTAGGCCTTTGCGATTGCTGCTGGTGCTATTTCCATACCAGGTGGTGATACAGCCACACAGGATGCTCCCCACAGTGCAGGTGTAGAACGAGTGGAGGATGTGAGGGCTTATTCCAAACCTCCTGAGACGCCTGAGGAAGAAGAGGCGTTGTTGTGCCTTCCCTAGCACTGCGTCTGTGTGAGCAGTCCATGTCAAATCCTTAGCAATGTGTACTCCAAGAAACTTGAAAGCGCTGACTCTCTCCACTGGTGTCCCGTTGATGTTGATGGGGGTGTGTTCTCTCTTCTCCCAGCTCCTTGGTTTTGCTGATGTTGAGTGAGGGGTGGTTTTCCTCACACCACTGCGTCAGAGTGTAAACCTCCTCTCTGTAGGCCATCTCATCATTATCTGTGATTAGGCCCACCACTGTCATCAGCAAATTTAACGATGACGTTGGAGCTGTGTTTGGCTGTACAGTCGCGTGTGTACAGGGAGTACAGGAGTTGACTGAGAACACAGCTCTGTGGATCATCAGTGTGGATCAGGTCATGTTGTTCATTCTGACCACCTGGCGTCTTCTTGACAGGAAGTCCAGGATCTAGATGCACATAGAGCTGTGTAGACCCAGAGCTTGGAGCTTCACCACTAGTTTGGCAGGCACTATAGTGTTGAATACTGAGCTGTAGTCCACAAACAGCATTCTCACATATGTGTTTTTGTTTTCCAGGTGAGACAGAGCAGTGTGCAAAGTGAAAGCAATTGCAACATCAGTGGAGCGAATTGCAGAGGGTCAGTGTGAGCAGGCAGTACAGAGCAGATGTGCTTTTTAAACATCTTCTCAAAGCACTTGCTGAAGATGGGTGTCAGAGCAACTGGACGCCAGTTATTTAAGCATGTAATTTTAGATTATGTCGGTATGGGCACAATAGTAGCTGTCTTAAAGCATGTGGGAACCACAGGCCGAGAGAGCAAGAGGTTAACGATGTCCGTGAAAACCCCCGCTAGCTGGTGTGCGCATGCTTTAAGTACACGTCCAAGGATGCCATCTGGGCCGTAGCTTTCCGGATGTTCCGGAAAGATCTCGTTACGTCTGCTACAGAAACAGAGTGTGCTGGCGGTTTTGGTATCGGCCGCGGGAGCGCACAGTGTGTAGGTGCTGTCCTGGGCTTTAAAGCAGGTGTAGAACAAGTTGAGCTCGTCCGGGAGAGATGCAGAAATGTTTACAGTGGCGGGTTTGTTACTTTTAAAGTTTATGATGTAATTAAGTCCCTGCCACATACTCCTCCCCTCTACCTTGTACCTCTGTATTGATGTTTTGCTGCTTTGATAGTTAACCTGAGGTTGTAGTTTGCTTGTTTTTGTTCCTCAGCATTTCTGTATTTATAGGCGGAGGTTCACACTGATCGGGCTGTTCGAACTTTGCCATCAATCCATGGTTTTGGGTTGGGGTAGATACGAACAGTTTTTGTTGGGACCATGTCTTCTATACACTTTCTGATGAAGCATGTAACGGTGTCTTGAGTAAACTTTAATGTCGTCATCAGAAGCTGCCCGGAACATCTCCCAGTCCACATGATCAAAACATTCTTGAAGTATGGAACTCGATTGGTCCGTCCAGCTTTGAAACGTCTTGAGGGTGGGTGGTTCCCGTTTCAGTTTCTGTCTGTAAGCAGGCAAGAGCAGAACAAAAGAGTCATCTGATTTGCTTAGCGGTGGGCGGGGGAGGGATTTGTTGGCTTCCCGGAACGGAGAATAGCAGTGGTCCAAAATTCGGTCACCATGCATGTTTGTGGTGATATGGTGATAGTATTTTGGAGTGATTTTCCTGAGATTGGCATTGTTAAAGTCCCCTGTAACAATAAATGCTGCCTCTGGGTGTGTGGTTTCCTGCTCGCTTATGCTCCCATTCAGTTCCCCAAGCGCCTGCTCTGTGTTGGCTTGAGGGTGGATGCAAACATCTGTAATTATAACAGCTGTGACCTCTCTTGGTGGCCAGTGTGGTTGGCACCGAAGCATAAGGTATTCCAGATCAAGAGAACAAAATGATCTAACTGGATGTATCTAACTGGACCCCCTCGTTCGAGTTGCAACATAAAAGAGCTTAGACAACAAAAAAAATATATATGCAACTTATTTAATATACACAACTAATAAAACAACAAATCAAGAAACAAACAAATGTCTAGGGGAAAATGAAGAAAATAACTAACTTTAACTACACATATAAATAATGCCAAACAAAACCATAAGGTTGCCAAAATAAAGAGATGGTCTTGATGCAAGGACGGCCAGTAGCCACACTATCCTACAGAAGCTAGCTCACTCTCGCATTTATATGCTTTGAACCAATTGGGGAGCTACCATGGCACCTTAACAGGATCTGCCACATCCAAACTGGAATACCAGGGTCGTCACACCATTTACACCTTTCAAATCTGTGTCTTATCAATGTGACCAAAATTACTTTTATGATCAATTATGTAAGAAACTCTGAAAACTAGACTGACAGCGTTTCAATTTACAACGACTTCTATGTTAGGCGACTATGACACAATTTACATTGTAAAAGCAGTAGATAAATAAAGATGAATTTAATCTGCTTAAATGTGTACATGTTAATGACTGAACAAAATATGATCTGATTTTATTTTACATTTAACATGCATCAAAATAAGTGTGTGTAGCCAATGTTTCCAGTGTCTTTTTACTTTTCAGCTTTTGATGAGAGATTTTTAGACTTGATGAAAACTAATCTTTTATTTATTTATTTCAGACCTAATTGAAGAGAATGAGAGGAAAGAGGAGGAACATCATGTCAAAATTGAGGAAAAAACTCATTTACAGACTGATGGTATTTTGAAAAGGAGAGACAAGAATTGTTTCACCTGCACTCAGTGTGGAAAGATTTTGGCAAGCAAAAGCAAACTTAAGATTCACATGATGATACACACTGGAGAGAAACCATTCACATGCACTCAATGTGGGAAGAGTTTCAACCAATCATCACAACTTAATGACCACATGATGATCCACACTGGAGAGAAACCATTTACTTGCACTCAGTGTGGGAAGAGTTTCAACCGCTCAGCACACCTTGATCAACACATGAGGATCCACACTGGAGAGAAACCATTTACTTGCACTCAGTGTGGGAAGAGTTTCAACCGCTCATCAAACCTTGATCAACACATAAGGATCCACACTGGAGAGAAACCAATAACGTGCACTCAGTGTGGGAAGAGTTTTCGCCAATCCTCATCCATTTATAAACACATGAGGATCCACACTGGAGAGAAACCATTCACATGCACTCAGTGTGGGAAGAGTTTCATCCAATCATCAAACTTTAATCTACACATGAGGATCCACACTGGAGAGAAACCATTTACGTGCACTCAGTGTGGGAAGAGTTTCCGCCAAGCATCATCACTTAATAAACACATGAGGACCCACACTGGAGAGAAACCATTTACTTGCACTCAGTGTGGGAAGAGTTTCAACAGCTCATCACACCTTAATCAACACATGAGGATCCACACTGGAGAGAAACCAATAACGTGCACTCAGTGTGGGAAGAGTTTTCGCCAATCATCATCCCTTTATAAACACATGAGGATCCACACTGGAGAGAAACCATTCACATGCACTCAGTGTGGGAAGAGTTTCCGCCAAGCATCATCACTTAATAAACACATGAGGATCCACACTGGAGAGAAACCATTCACATGCACTCAGTGTGGAAAAAGTTTTAACTGCTCATCATACCTTAAACAACACATGACGATCCACACTGGAGAGAAACCATTTACGTGCACTCAGTGTGGAAAGAGTTTCCGCCAAGCGTCATCACTTAATATACACATGAGGATCCACACTGGAGAGAAACCATTTACTTGCACTCAGTGTGGGAAGAGTTTCAACCGCTCATCACACCTTGATCAACACATGAGGATCCACACTGGAGAGAAACCATTCACATGCACTCAGTGTGGGAAGAGTTTCAGCCAATCATCAAACTTAAATCTACACATGAGGATCCACACTGGAGAGAAACCATTCACTTGCTCTTAATTAAATTCAATTCAGCTTTATTTGTATAGCGCTTTTACAATGTAGATTGTGTCAAAGCAGCTTCACATAAATGGTCATAATAAATTGGATCAGGGTAGTTCAGTTTTTAGTGTTTCAGTTCAGCTCAGTTCAGTGTGGTTTAAATCATTACTGAGAGTTCAAACACTGAAGAGCAAATCCATTGATGCATAGCTCTTCCGATCCTGAACCATGCAAGCCAGTGGCGACAGCGGAGAGGGAAAAAAAAAAACTTTACTGATAGGAGTGAAGAAAAAAAACCTTGAGAGAAACCAGACTCAGTTGGGCACGACCATTTTCATTTCTCCGCTGGCCAAAAGTCTTGTGCAGAGCTGCAGTCTCAGCAGTGGAGGCTGGAAGCTGGCCAAAGTGAAGACTCGTCTGTCCCTGGAGCATCACTGGAATCAGTCTCATGCTCTCCACACCCCATGACCACCAGCGCAGCAGCTCAGGAAACGGCCTGGTCCAGGGTATGGAAACCTTGGGATCATCTAGTTTTGAACTGAGAGAGTGTGTCTGAGCCTCGGATGTTATCAGGAAGGCTATTCCAGAGTTTAGGAGCCATAAATGAGAAGGCTCGACCTCCTTTACTCGACTTTGCTATTCTAGGTACTACCAGATGCCCGGAGTTTTGAGATCTTAAAGAGCGAGTTGGATTGTAGCGAGACAGAAGATAAACAGGAGCTAGATTATTTAGAGCTTTAAAGGTGAGAATTAATATTTTAAATTTAATACAAAACTTAACAGGCAGCCAGTGTAATGAGGGTACAATTGGGGTCTGTGTTCACACCGGACTTTTCTCTCCATAGACTTCCATTCATACGCACGCAAATGTGTCAGACTGGAAACATAAGTTTGTGCGTCAAGTTTCGCAATTCACTGCCTTGCAAGGTTCAAGCTTGGTGAACTTTGACCTTGGAAATTGCATCACTTGACTATGTAAGACCCACACTGGAGAGAAACCATTCACATGCACTCAGTGTGGGAAGAGATTCAACCGATCAGCAAACCTTAATAAACACATGAAAATCCACACTGATGTGAAAGAGTATATGCGCTTTGAGTGTGAGAAGACTTATTACAGCTCCAAAATTGAAACTGCACCAGACAATTTACTCTGGTGAGACCGTACAAGTGTTTTTACAAGAGGTTTAATCAGTTAACACATCTGAAAACAACAGGATTCACACTGGAGAGAAACCGTACAGATCTGATCAGTGTCTACAGAGTTTTAATCATTCGGCGCAGCTTAAGAAACGCATAGACAAAAAAGTTGCACACATGACATGAATGCAGCAAAACATTTTCTCTGTGCACTGGATGTTTCATGTCTGAATAATGTTTGAAAAGGCTGAGTGACAATATACTGTTTTCCAACACTCCTACACTGCAGTAGGTCGGGTTGTAAATGTGTTGCGCTTTTCGCGTTTACCGTAAACACCGTGGTGGTGGCTGAAAGAAGAACTGTCATAAACATCTGGCCAACAGCTCCTCTGCAGCTTAAAATCTCTTTGCAAGTGATTGTACCAGTGCAGATAAATTTGTACTCTCTCCAGTGTATTCATGTAGCTAGTGTTGTTTTAAATGATGTTCACTGTCTGACTCCCTGAATGAGAGACATCACTGGGAAGACACCGCACATCAAACAAGGTGGAGCTCTAGGACGCTTAGTTTGCAGTATACCAGGACCTCAAGTTTTAAAAGCCCATTCAATTGTCCTGTGTTGCAGCTTTTATTAGTGAAGTTTCTTTACTTTTAGATTCTAGATTTTTCTAGTTTACTGCATTTACTTTGAGTCGAATACAAACTTGATGAATATTTTATGATTTAGGCAGAGCGACACACAGCAAATTCATTGGTGTTAAATTTCAAGTGTTGAGGTAATTCAGAGTAAAGTGTTAAAATTCTAGAGTTAGATCAGCATTAGAAGCTGATTTGCCTCCTTGTCACACAGAGTAACATGTATCTACGTTTGTAGAAAACCCTTGTGTTTGAGAAACTAATCAGAGTGTCTGAAATCTCGCCACACCCTCATTCACCTGGCCCTTAAATTAGTCAATTAGTTTAGTCCACTAGACAGAGGGAATGACCACAAATAAGTGAATTCAGACACCGGCTGTTGAACACCTGCTGTTAACAAGCACAATCACTGAAGGAATAAGAAACTGAAGGAAGAAATAAAACTACAGACACAGCCTCACACCAAACTAACTGAATTAAAACAGAGGATTAAACAACTCCATTAAATAATAGTATAAGCAGCTTCACTGATTACAGTTTGACTTTATTTCTGTAAGAATATTTGACAATGAACAGAGGTTTATATTTTTTTTTATTAAAAATATTTCATTTGACCTCACCATCATGGAGATCAGAGGCTGCTTATTTGAGCTCTTGAAGCTTTACTCTTATAGCCTAACGTTTCTCTGGCTGTTATAGCTGTGTTTCTAAAATTCATTAGCTATGGCTAGAAAGATCAAGAGAAACTTTACTGTTTATGATTAATTGTTATAGATATAATTTTAGGTGTTTAATAAGTTGATTCATAAAAATATGCAAATATAGTTTATATATAAAACTGAAGGGACAATACTCCTGGCAGTCTGCTGCTTTTCAGAGAAGATTCAACAATTAGGATGCAATTAATAATTAGAGTGTCATGCACTAAACATTCAAGCTCCAGCTTACTCATATAACACACAGACATCAAGAATCAACATATGAACCTCAACCGTGGTTGCTAAAAAAAAAAAAAAAAAAGCTGCATAGCTCATGCTGCAATGCATGCTGGGTGCCAGCATGGTACAAAGCTCCCAGCATGCATTGCAGCATTAATTAATTATGCAGCTTTATGTTCTTACAATCTCTTTCTTTTCCTTTATTTTGTGTTGTTTTTGGGAGGTGATATTTCAGTAGTGTTTTTTTACTTGATTTTTATTTTTTTGTTTGTCACCATCATTGAGATTCAAAGACTAATTGTTGATGTCAGTGTGTTTTTAAGTTCTGCCATAGATCAAACATTCTCATTGTAAATATTGGGTTTATTTTATTTTATATTATTGGAGCTTCAGTGGTTTCATTTATGTATATTATTTATCTCTCACACATAACTAATATGATATTGAATTAGAAAACAAGCAGGAAGGGATGGCTATGTTATCATAAAAAATCTCTAAAGACTGACACATTAATTTTCTTTCGGCTTTCCATGCTATATGTATAAATAGTGTAATTAACACTAACTATATCAGCGAAAATAAAAGACATTTATAGCAAGAAGTTGAAGAGCCTGACTAAAGTAGACTCTGTCCTCCATCATGGTGACTTCAAATGAACAACAGAAATTTCATTAAGAGCTTTTGTTCACATGACAGAAATAAAGTCACTGGTCAGTAATAGGTGAAGCTCCATGATAAGTTGTTTAATTTGATGAGTTTTTTTTAAAGATGTTGAAAAATAACATTTTTTATTGTGTAATTTGTTTTATTTTTATTGATTATTATTTTATTTAGAGTTTTTTTTTTCTCAGTTGATTTCATCTTTGGTTTTAGCTTGTGTTTTTCTGTCCTTCAGTGATTCTGCTTGTTAACAGTTGTTCATCAATAATTCTCAATCCTCCTTTAATTAGACACTTAATTGTCTCATTAACTTCATCACTGTCTGAGTGTTCAGCCCTCTGTAGTGAGGACACTAGTGAGGATTTTGCTGTGGAATTTAAGGCTTACGTGTGTTCGAATGAAAAATACAGACTATGGGATTTGTTTTTAACAGAAATATTCTGGAAACTGAATTTACGAATGTAAAATGTTGAAAACAGCAGATTACTGGCAACCACTGCTGCCAGTATTTTGACATACATTTAACAGATATTTAACACAATAAGAGTTTGCTAATTAACACTCTAGTTGTTAAAAATTTTAACACTTTAAAAAATGTTATTTTAACACTTATAGTGGTTCCCATATAAACACTGAGGGAGTGTTAATTTTAACTCTAAGGTAGTTAAATCTACCAAATCTAAAATTTGCAGTGTGAGATCGATTAAAAAATACAGACTGTTGAATGTGCTTTTAACAGAAATATTCTGTAAACTGAATTTATGAATGTTAAAAACAGCAGATTACTGGCAACCACAGCTGCTGGTATTTTTCTGTAAAATCTAAAAATGAAAAAAAAAGAAAGAAAAACAGCAAAACGCTTTTTGTGTCACCATTGTGGAGGATAATAGTGTCTCTGTTCAAGTCCAAGATGACCTGAAAGTATTTGATGTTATGCTGCATCTTCTTTTGTTTAAAGGTAACTGTGTAGTTACTAATGCAGTCAAAATCTGTTTGCTAATTGCAATCACACATGAAAACATTATTGCATCTAAAGACTTTACATTTTGGTGCACTAAGCTATGATTTTGTAAAATGAACAATGTATTAGTTCATGAAATATGGTTATTTTTTGTAAATTTATACAGTTATATAAAACTTCCATGTTTTTCACAGAAAGATTCTGGCAACCACAGCTGCTGGTATTTAATCGGAAATTTAACAGATATTTTACACAATAAGAGTTTGCTAATTAACACTCTCTTGATGTTGACAATGTTAACACTTTCAAAATTGTTATTTTTAACACTTATAGTGGTTCCCAAATAAACTCTGAGGGAGTGTTAATTTTAACTCCAAGGTAGTTAAATCTACTACCTAAAATTTGCTGTGCAGGTATTACGTTTTACAATATTTATACACTGTGATGATCCCAAGACTCCAGATTAGAGCATGTGGTAAATTCTGATTGGACGCCTGCATTACTCATCAATGGGTATATAAAAGTTGTTGTGCTAGCTACCCCAGGACACTGTGGCTACTCGGGAGTCCACATGTCAAGACCTGCCATCTCATTGGCTCTTTAACCTTATAGTTTTGTTTTGCATTACTTTTGTCATGTAGTTAAAGTGTTGTTGTGATTTTATCCTAAGTTCTTTATCGTCATTATTATCCCTAGACATTTGTTGGTTGCTTTGATTGTTTGTTCTATGAGTTACTTTTATAATAAATAATTTGCATTCAGGCTATTTTGTTGGCACTCTTATGGTGCGACTCTAACAAGCGGAATCATAACACTTCGCAAAATGTGGCCGGTTGTATCCAAGATCTTGGTCTTTTCAGTCATGACCATAGGTGAGAGTAGGAACCTAGAATGAGCAGTAAATTAAGAACATTGCCTTTCGTCTCAGATCCTTCACCACAACAGACAACCACATCAACTGCATTACTGCTGCCGCTGCACTGATCCATCTTTAAATCTCACATTCCATTCCTCATGGAAAGCACTGATACTTGAACTCCATTTGGGGTAAAGACTCTCCTCCAAACTGGAGATGGCCACCTTTTTCCAGTCAAGCACAATGGTTTCTTAGAGGTGCTGTTTCTTTCCCTGCCATGTCACACTCAGCAGCAAACCGTCCCACTTACTCCATGTCCTATAAAGCCAAAAAGACAACGTTATCTGCAAATGGCAGAGACAGTCCTAGCCTGCACCTAAAATTCTGTCAGTAAAAATTACTGTATTTTTGAGATCAGCCTGAAAAATAGCACATTTACAAAATAAAATGAATAAATGGATGGATGGATAGACATTGTAGTGGGGGAAGGGGAAGTTGGATGGCTTGTGTAGATGTTAGATGATCACACACACACACACACACACACAAGTAATAGCTTCTAGCTTATTTTTATTACGTTCTTCATCAGTAACATGCTTTCCTGTTTTGTCGCTCCCGCCACCGACTTTCCCCTCTAGCTCCACCCACTTCCGTTACGTCACTTGACACACAATAAGCTACATCCCCCGCTTTTTTAGCAGGTGACAAGGCAACAAAAAGTAAAAAAATAAAATCAGGTAAATGTATATACAGATCTGGCATGAACTAACACGCGCATGAAACAAAGTGATCTCGCATGGCCACGACATATGGCGCGTTAGCACGGAAAGATGGTCTAGCAAATAAAGACATGAACAGTAGGGGGCAGTCGTGTACTGTAACGCACTGTATTGAAGCTGGAGCATTCTGTACGCATCATTATAACCTAGAACACTACTTCATACAGGGGCGTAGATGTAGGGTGGACGGTGGTGATGCTTAATATTAATAGTTAAGTTTTCTAATTCACCACTGAACAACAGCTGATTAAACGTCCTTTGAAGAAAAGCTGGAGGAAACTAAAAATTAAAACGCAAAAAAAAAAATGCATTTAGAAACAGCTGAGAGCAAGTTATAACTAATAATAATATTTCTGACTTATTTAATCTGAGCAGAGGTACAAGACAAGGATTCCCACTATCACCTCTGTTGTTTTTATTTGCAATTGAACCCCTGGCTATGACTATTAGGAAAAATCCAGATATAAAGGGTATGAAGATAGGAAAGAGGGATCATCGTATATCTTTGTTTGCAGATGACATTATTTTGTTTTTAACCAATTTGAAAAAATCCATCCCAGTGCTTACCAATATTATTGAAAAATTTGGAAAATTCTCGAGCTATAAAATAAATAATAGTAAAAGTACTCTGTTATTATTAAATGAGCAAGAGAGGAAAGGCCCCTTAAGTCATAAACAATTTGCCAACGAAATTAATGGTTTCTCTTATTTAGGGATTAAAATTACGCCCAATATAGACAACATAGTCCCCTCTAATTATGATCCTCTAATAAAGGGAGTCTCGGAATCTTTGGACAAATGGAGTGCAATGCCCATTTCGTTAGCAGGACGTATACGTATAATTAAAATGTCAATCTTACCGAAATGTTTATACCTTTTTCAATCTATTCCCCTTCCATTACCTGATGCTTTCTTTTCTACTCTTAAAAAAGCCTTTAC